TCCTTGTTCCTGAAAGACTGCGCTCCTATTACTCCCGCCCGGTGGCAACTGACGGCCTTGCGAGCGCCCGTGGAGATGTTCGCGGCCTGAGACCACTCCGCGCAGACTATCAGCGTGGACTTCGCTTTGCCCTGTTCCACGGGGAACAGCGCGTCCATGGCCGGCAGCGCGATCTCCTGCAGCATGGCGGTCTTCCCGCTGCCGCCCTGGCCGAGGAGCAGGAACTGGAACGTCTTCCGCTTCGCGTGCTTGGCCATGCTGCCGTCCTTGATCTTCTGCCCCTCGCCCCACACCACGTTGCAAGCTTTCGCGAACGCCGTGGCGAACAGGGCCTGGTGGGCTTCAGAGGGCGGCGCTCTTGCTTCCCTGTTCTCGGGTTGACCACGCCGTCCTCGAACTTTTTGACGAGGCGCCTGACGAAGTGGCTGGGCCGCTGCAACTCCTCCGACGGCTCCCACCGCGCCTGCGCCGCCTCGGCCGGCATCGCGCCAGCGCTCGCTGCCCCGACGTCGTCCGGCGCGGGGGCGTCGTCCACGGGCACGTCCGCATCCTTCGCGCCCCCCTTGGCGAACCTTTTCCGCTGGGTCTCCGCCAGGTCCTTAAGCTCGTCTGCGTCGAGGTCGCGCAGGGCCCTGAACGGAGCGAGGACGTCCTTCTTCAGGGCGCGGGCTGCGCGCCGCGACGCGTCGGCGTCAGTTGGGCCGGGCAGCGCGCCGTTCTCCATCATCGTGGCGGCCTTTTTGAGCTCCTTGACGAAAGCCCGCTTGCTCTCGGCGGCCTGCCCGGACGAGCAGTTCGCAAGCCCGTGGTCGGCCACGTTCCCGCGGATGTGGAGGATCCCCGGCGCGCCCACGGCCGCCAGCCCGCGTGCCGCGGGGCGATCCGGAGCCACCGCTGGACGAAGAAGACGACGGCGACGACGACATCCACCCGGCCACTCCTCCACCGCTCGTTTACAGCGACCACAGCGTGAACACCGAAAGACCCTCGCAGGTGGAATGGAGTCTCCCGCGAACGCAATGCAACATACATACGGGGGGGAGCGGGCCTCCTCCTCCTCATCCTCCACCTCCTCCTTCTTCCCAGAGGTCTGGAGCTGTTCCCTCAAACCTTGAGTGTGGCGGGCGCATGGTGGCGGTGGCATTGGCGCCTTCGGTGGAGCCCCCCGTGGAGCCAGGAGGCGTGTGAGGCGTGTGCCGAAATGGGTGTGGGGGACGCATGCTGGCGGTGGCACTGGGGCCTTCGGTGGAGCTCCCTATGGGGCCACGAAACGTGTGAGGGGTGTGCCGACATGTGTGGGGGACGCATGCTGGCGGTGGCACTGGGGCCTTCGGTGGAGCTCCCCACGGGGCCACGAAACGTGTGAGAGGTGTGCCGAAATGTGTGTGTGTGTGTGTGTGGGGGACGCATGCGGGCGGTGGCACTGGGGCCCTCGGTGGAGCTCCCTATGGGGCCACGAAATGTGTGAGTGGTGTGCCGACGTTGGTGTGTGTGGGGGACGCATGCGGGCGGTGGCACTGGGAACTTCGGTGGCGCTCCCTATGGGGCCACGAAGCGTGTGGGGGCGTGCCGAAATGGGTGTGGGGGACGCATGCGGGCGGTAGCACTGGGGCCCTCGGTGGAGCTCCCTTTTGGGCCACGAAACGTGTGAGGGGTGTGCGGGAAATGTTGTGGAGGGCGCGTGCGGGCGGTGGCACTGGGGCCTTCGGTGGAGCTCCCGATGGGGCCACGAAATTTGTGAGGGGTGTGCCGAAATGTGTGTGGGGGACGCATGCTGGCGGTGGCAGTGGGGCCCTCGGTGGAGCTCCCCATAGGGGCCACGAAGCGTGTGAGGGATGTGCCGAAATGGGTGTGGGGGACGCATGCGGGCGGTGGCATTGGCGCCTTCGGTGGAGCTCCCTGTGGGGCCACGAAACGTGTGAGTGGTGTGCCGAATTGTGCGTTGGGGGGCCCATGCGGGCGGTGGCACTGGGGCCTTCGGTGGAGCTCCTTCTGGCGCCAGGCAACGTGTGAGGGGTGTGCCGACATGTGTGTGGGGGACGCATGCGGGCGGTGGCACTGGGGCCTTCGGTGGGACTCCCTATGAAGCCACGAAACGTGTGAGGGGTGTGACGAACTGGGTGTGGGGGGCGCATGCTGGCGGTGGCACTGGGGCCTTCGGTGGAGCTCCCTATGGGGCCACGAAACGTGTGAGGGGTGTGCCGGAAATGGTGTGGAGGGCGCGTGCGGGCGGTGGTACTGGGGCCTTCGGTGGAGCTCCCTATGGGGCCACGAAACGTGTGAGGGGTGTGCCGACATGTGTGTGGGGGACGCATGCGGGCGGTGGCACTGGGGCCCTCGGTGGAGCTCCCCATGGGGCCACGAAACGTGTGAGGGATGTGCCGAAATGGGTGTGGGGGACGCATGCGGGCGGTGGCACTGGGGCCTTCGGTGGAGCTCCATATGGGGCCACGAAACGTGTGAGGGTTGTGCCGACATGGGTGATGATTTTGGTGATTATGACGGTCGTGATGATGATGATGATGATGATGATGATGATGATGATGATGATGATGATGATGATGATGATGACGATGACGATGACGATGACGATGATGATCATGATGATGATGATGATGAAGATGATGATGAAGATGAAGATGATTATGATGATGATGATGATGATGATGATGATGATGATGATGATGATGATGATGATGATGATGATGATGATGATGATGATGATGATGATGATACTGATGCTGATGACGCTGATGGTGATGATGATGATGATGATGATGATGATGACGACGCTGATGATGACGGGAAAAGAGAGGAAGGGGGAGGAGGAGGAGGAGGAGGAGAGGAACGCGGGGCGACGTCTCTTCAAAACGAGGACCCAACACCACAGGATGGTTGGGGAAACAACAAATATTTCAAACCTGTTGGTTGAGGTTTTCTGGCGACGGGTGCCCCCCCCTCACCCTCCTGCTCCCCCAACGTCCGTGTAGCGAGCGCGTATCAAGACAACCAAAAACGATGTAAAACTATCGGCGGTCTGGTTGTTGTTTAACGACTTCCTTACCAAAGCCTAGCACGATATCTGGAATGCCTGCGTTTCCACATGGCTTCCTTTACCAGAGCCTTCACAACTGTACGGGGCAGCTGTGTGTGTTCTCGGGCTCCGATCAGGAACCAGCCCCTTGCAATGCTTTTCCAAAGGGCATTCTTTTGCAAAGCCGCCCACGGCGCGCTCGCTAGACGGTTTCCCCCCTGGGGCCCTGTGAGGCCTACGCCTCTCTTCCTCGTCCTCCTCTCTCCTCCCTGCCTTTTCCTGTTCTTGGTCCTGTGTGATCCTGCTCTCTTCCTTTTCCTCTTCCTCTGCCTCCTCCTGTCCTTCGGGCAGCCTAATCGCGGATCCCTCTGTCTAGTTCTGGACAGCACACACTGAGATTGGCAGACCTGGACAGCAGACGACGAGGAAAGAAAAAGCAAGATCATGAAAAGGATGAGGATGACGACGGCCATATGTTCTGGCAAGTGGCGTTTGTGGTTGCTTCTATGCTTCCTGCCGATCGCCCAAACGGGTCAGGCAGTGCTGAACCGATGGAGCTAGGAGCACGAACCCCGCAAGGTTCTGCGGTCGAAGCTTCCCGAAACGAGCCTCGGCGGGTTCAGCGCCAGAGATCGCCCGTCGCTAGAAAGCCAAGATTTGAAAGTTGTGTTGTGTCCAGGCATGCCTTTCCAAATCTGATATGTACGCGCGTAACTCTACACACATATATATTTACACATCTATGTGTACATATATATATATATATGTATATATGTATGTGCGTTCGTCAGACTTTCCTCCCCAACAGGTTCAAACATATATGAAATGTGTGTGCGCGCGGTTCAAAAGTTCTCTTGTCTGACGCATTGTCCTTTTGGGGGAGCGGAGGAGGAGAAGGAGTAGGATGAGCAGAGGCGCCCGTTTCCAGAAAACCCTGCAACAATGGATTGACCGTCGGTGCGTTGTCGCAAGGTTTCCGCACCTGGGCCCAACACGTATGTTGAACATCAGCTTTGATTAATTAAGAACCTTCCTTACCAAAACCATCCAGATTGTATGCATCCATATACATGTATGCGAACCTACAAAAAATGTAGGATCGATGTGCGCTCACACGACTTACTTACAGAAGCCTTCACAACCATATGACACACATGTATGTGTTCACCTGGTTGACTTGAGACAACAATCCCTTCTACTGGTTTCCATTCGGAAAAAAATGTCACAGGGGGCCGCGCAAAGCACGCTCGCTGGACAGTTCTCCGTTGGAACCCTGCGAGCCCTACTCCATTCCTCCTTCTCCTCCCTCCTCCCTGCCTGTTCCTCCTCCTGCTCAACTTCCTCCTTCTTTGTCCTGCTTTCTCCTGCTTGTTCTTGCTATCCTCCTCCTCCTCCTCTTCCTCCACCTCCTGCCTCCGGGCGACCTAATCACGGATCCCTCTGTGTCTATTCCTGGACAACAGACCTTGATCGGTGGTCGATTGGCAGACCAGGGCAGCAAACGACGAGGAAATCAAGAACACGAACATGAAAAGGATGAGGATGACTACGACCACGTTTTCTGGAAGGTGGCGTCCGTGGTCGCTTCTGTGCTTCCTTTCGTTAGCCCAGTCGGAGCAGCCAGCAGTGCAGAACGGACAAAGCTTAGGGGCACGAGCCCCGAAGGCCTCTGCTCTTTGGGACTTCCCGGCGTGAGCCCCGAAGGGTTCGGCGAGAATGGCGCAAGCCCCGAAGGCTTCCGCGCCAGGAGGCCCCGGAGGAATCGCAAGGCAGCGGGGGCGGAAGAAAAAGACAAGCATGCATGATCATCTGGGGGGCGAAAATACAAATATAAGAGCATACATATGATATTACGTATACTCATTGTAGAGAGAGAGAGAAAGAAACAAACTAGAAAGAGAGAGAGAGAGAAACAAAAAAAGACAGAGAGAAAGAGAGAGAGAGAGAGAGAGAGATCGGCCCATAATTAGGGAGTCGGCTCACCCGTCTGCCCCGGCAAGGGCGCCGAGCCGAGAGACCAGCTCCCGAGCACGACAGCGCGAGGCGAGCGCGCCAACTGCTCTGCAGCCGCTGCAGCATGGCAGCCGGCGAGCGCCCGGCGCCCCTCGCGGCGCAGCACCGGCAGCCACTGAGAGGGGCCGCGAGCGCCTTGGGGGCCGCCCGCCCGGGGCCTGCGCAGGGCGCGGCGCGGCACGCGGCGCCCCGAGACTGTGAGGGCACGCCGGGCTCGAGCGACCCCGTCGAGCAGCCGCCCAGCACCGCCCAGCATGCGAAAGCTGCAAGCCCTCTGGGCCACCGTGTCGAGCATCGCCCACGGCCGTGGCGGGGGCGTCCGAGCGCGCGCTGGCCGAGGATCCGCAGGCGCCGAGGCTCCAGCGGCGTGCCGACGAGACTGAAGGGGCCCCAGGACACACACAAATAAATGCACATAAATAAAAATACACCCCATACTTTCCCATATTTTCTGGGTTTTCCTCTTCCCCCCCACTCCCAATATTTTCCCATATTTCTTTGGGAATCGACGATGCATTGTGTCTGTGTGCTTCTTTCCCTCCTAAGAGACCGTGGCAAGCGACATGGCCGCCCAGCACGCGGCGCCGCTCGGCCCCCTCGGTGCCGAAGCTCGGGCGGCCGCCGAAGACGCGCGGCGTGCCCCCAGGCTCGGTGCACCTCGGCCTCTGGGGCAGACGAGCCCGTCGCGGCAGTGTGCAGATGCCCCGAACCTAGAGGCCTCCTAGATGGGGCCGGAGTAGACGAGGTGGAGGCCTCCGAGATGGCGTCGGAGTAGGCGAGGTCGAAGGGTCGCGCCGCATCGCCGAGACATCGGCGACGCATCGGCGAGATGCATCGGCGATGCACCGGCGATCCATCGTCGACGTCGGCGATGCATCGGCGACGCCGACGTGGAGCAAGTTTGGCCCCACCTCGGGCCGCATCGCCGATGCATCGCCGATGCCTCGGCGATGCGGCGCGATCCGCCGACCCCGTCTACACTCCGACCCCGTCTGGGGATGCCTATAGTTACCAGCCTCGAACTTACCCCTATCCCCAAGATGGGCACGCCAAAAGGCGATGACAATCTTAGGGATGCGCCCTCAAAAAAGAAGGGAGCCCCTAAGATTGGCATCGTGATGAGGAGATGCCCAGCATAGGGATAGGGGTATGTTCCAGGCTGGTCATATATAGAGACCAGGCCCGTGCGCACGTCGTGGCCCAGGGCCGTCCGGGGCCTGGGCACCCACGTGCTGCGCACGCCGCTCCGCGGGCGCAAGGCCCCTGCGGAGGCCCCCGGGCCCTCGGGGGGCGCCGCGCGCGAGGCGGCCACTGCGCGGGCCGCGGCCGCCGCGGGCACCGCGCGGGCCCCGGCCCCCGCTCCCAAGGGAAAACTGCCGCGGCTGCTCTGAGGCTCCTGGAGGCCTGCTCTCCTCGATCCGCGATTAGGGGAACAAAAAGTGACATAAACAGAAAAACTCGGAGGTCCGCGCGGATTTCTCGGATCGGCGCTGGACACCCCTCCCTGACGCGCGGAGCGCGCCAGGGGCGGCGCCGGAGGCGCCCCCGGGGGGCCCCAGCGCCGATCCGAGAAATCCGCGCGGACCTCCGAGTTTTTATGTTTACGTCACTTTTCGTTCGCCTAGCGATGGCCCCGAGCTGTGCCTCCTGGCGCGGGGCCGATGCGGCCGGGGATGCCCAGTGGAGCCCGCGGGCATGTCTGCGGCACCGTGCTTCGCGCGAGCCTGGCCTCCGGCGGCGCCCGCGGGCACCCTCGGGCGCGGGCAGTGTGGGGGGCCGCTCGTCGTCTGCCAGGCGGCCGCCCGCGGTCAGCAGCAGTACTTCAGGCCGGTGCGCCTCACGCCACCAGACCAGTCAAGGGCCGGCAGCACGGGCGCGATGGCGAACTCGATCTTCAGCACTGCCGTGTGCAAGTTCGGCTCGGTGGCCACCAGCGTCTATGAAGCACATATCCATACCAGAGCGCGCCTCAATGTGAGGCTCCTCAGCGGCAAGGGTCACCTTTTCGTACAACTGGAATCCCACCGTGATCGCTGGAAGGACCGTCTGCTGATCATACATGGCAAACGGCAGAAACCATGTCCTCCGGGTTGAACTTCCCAAGGTGGCTCTCGGATTTCACGAATTGGACTGGTGAATGCCAGATTGACAATCACAAACAGAGTCAGCAAGATTAACACGCGACCGACCTTGGAACATATTGACATTTTGGGCAGACCCTCCATGCATGGACTGTGTGAGCCGCTATCTCGGGCCGCCCTATGCGCTCCAAGAGCATGCCCTGGTTTCCAGCAGCTCCCGGCCCAAGGCGCGCATAGCCATGCAATGGAGCATGGGCGGCATACCAATGATCGTGATGGCATGCCGGAACCAGGTAGTCAAGACCACAGGCGCAGCGGCGTAGCCTGCCACTCCTTCGAGGTGTTTGGGCCCATCGTCATCGAGCTGTTGCTATAGACGCATACCCGCAGGACTGCTTTCCTCGGTACCCCCGTCCTCCAAGAGCTGACGACAAGCGCAGTCGAATCCAATGACGTAATTCCTGGTCTGGAGCAGCAGCGAAGCGAGATCGGTACAGGTCATAGCTGCCGTTGAAGCAACAACTCCGAAAGTGCAGCGAGATAAGGGATCTCGAACACAAGCGAAAAACGTGAGTAGTTGCCATGATCGCATGACTCCCGAGCTTCAACCTTCAGAAGGGCACCGCTGACACGTATTTCACCAGGAATTCGCAAGCCATGCCAACATCATCGCCAGGAGGAATAAGAATGCAACGAAAAGCTCGTCCATGTTCCAGGCGCCCGTGCACAACTCGACCAGAGGATGATCCAATATCCTTGTTTCGGGCCAGAGTGGCTGCGGATGGGACGAGAACCTCGAAACCTGACGTAGCGAAGAGACCACGATGCCGCAACAATCACCACCAGGGACCCCGACCCAACCTCTACACGTAGGACTTTCCCAACCAAACCGCCCCGCCAGGGTCCTGGGGTCCGAGTTCGAAAGGAAATGCCCAGCGTGATCCTGCCACGACGCACGGATCTGAGGGAGTGTGGACGTCTGGCTGTCTACCTTCCCTCTGGAGCCTCGACCCCTGTTCGATGCAAATGCGAACACTTCCTTGCGAGACCGCCCCAGGAGGCTCAAGAAGAGAGACAGACTTCAAAATACTTTGCCAGAAGCGGTCATCACCGAATCGATACAAATCGGATCGGCACGGGACAGGCACCGGATCGTATCGAATCGGCCGCGCCAAGATGCTCGGCACAGCCATGCAGACATCTGGTCGCATCGGATTGTCGGAAGATCGGGATCCGAATCGGATCGGGTTCGCCGACACGGTGGAAGCATCGGATAAGGAACCCTTAGACAAAAGGCATCCAGGGTCTGGGGGCGGGTGGAGCTCCGATCGAGGCTTGGCCATGGATCTCGCCGCCGCCCTCATCAGATGAGCAATCCTCCAAGGTCTGAGACCTCCCGTGCACGTTCCTCAACCAACGCCCTGGTCTTATCGAAATGGGCCGTGCAGATCCCCTGGCCAGAGGAGGAGGAGGAGGAGGAGGAGGAGGAGGAGGAGGAGGAGGAGGAGGAGGATCGAATCGGATCGAACGGATCGGAGCGGGAGGCACAGGCGCAAACCGCCGGAGGCCCGTGCAGATTCCCCTTGGCCAGGCACCGCAGACCTCCTCTCCCCGCCACGGGGGCCCAGCGCCGATCCCAGGAATCCGCACGGACCTCCGGCAGTCGATGGTCTGTTCCATTTTGTCCTTCCCAGAGGGGAGGAGGGAGGAGGGCTCGCATGGACCTCCGAAAGTTGATGATCAGTTCCATCCTCCTTCCCCGAGAGGAGGAACAAAGGAGGGCTTTTGGGGGGGGGGGAAGAGAGAGAGAGAGAGAGAGAGAGACCGAGGCACACGCCCAGGGGGGGAAAGGCAGGGGGCGGGCCTTATCAGAAGGCTCAGGCCTTCTGAGACGCTTTCCTGGAGGCCTCCCAGATGGAGTCCAAGTAGATGGGGTCGGAGGATCGCGCCGCATCGCCGATGCCTCGGCGATGCACCGGCGACGCCAGCGCGGAGAACATCGGGCTCCGCGCCGAGCCGCATCGCCGACGCATTGGCGATGCATCGGCGATGCAGCGCGATCCACTGACCCCATCTGCTCGGACCCCATTCAGGGAGCCTGCACGTCGTTCTTTTCTGATCGTGCTCGTTTCTGATGGGGCTCGTTTCTGGTTGTTCCTGGCCCCCCAGGTGGCCAGAAAGAGGCCCAGGACAGAACAGTCAGAGATGAAAGGATCCTGGCCCCCCAAAAACCAAGCCACTCTCGAAGAATTGGACGTGAACAGTGCGTGGACAGGCCTTCCCCGAGGCCGCCGAGGGCATCTGGGAGCGCCCGTCCCCTCCGCCCCCCCCCCCCCCTGGCGCGCATCCCGCCCAGCGAGGGCTTCGAGGAGGCACTGGCGGGGGACACGGGGACCAGGGGTAGGGAGCCCACAAAGGACGTACGCGCCCAACTGTGCACATGTAGATGAACACGGCCCCTCGACCCGCGAGACGGGCCGCGTGAGACGAACATTCGCGCAAAGCGAACTCTCGAAACCAGCGTGGATTCATGTACGTGTACGTCCTTCTTTCGCTCCTGAGAGGGAGCAGCCAGGCTGGACTGGGGCACGGGCCGGGCAACCTCGCTCTCTCTCTCTCTCTCTCGCTCTCTCTCTCTCTCTCTCTCTCCCCAGACTCCCCCCCTGGCGTCGTGAACCACAATCGCGACGGGGAGTTCATCGCCGGTGTCCGCCTCTGGGGGCCCTTCCCAGGCCTCGGGACCGTCAAAAAAACGACTCAGGATCTGAGCTGCTCCGATACGCAACACGCAACACGTAGCGTATTGATACGGAACTCAACACGTAGACTGACCGGCGACTACAATGGGTGCGGTTTGCGAAGGGTGCGGTTTGCCTTCCGTCATATCTGCCCCTCCCGCCTCCGGGAAAGGTATGACACTGTCACTCAATGCGACCGAATCACATGATACTGTGGCTCCTTCTAGTACAGTGGAGCACACATCGAGGATGACAGTGTCGCTCGAAACGACGACAATTACGACATTGTCTCTCACAAAGGCTCCGGAAAGGCCGCCACAAAGCAACTCGCAAACCGCACCCTGGCGCAACCGCACCAATTGTAGTCGCCGAACTGAACACGTACGTTTTCGACACGGACATGTTGAACACGGCACGGGTTACATTCCAACACGTGCGTATCAGAGCAGCTGAGCTCAGGATGAAAAGCAGGTCCCAGGCACGGGGTCCAGACCTCGACGCGGTGAAGCAATCACGAAGTCGGGAGTCTGGGCCTCTCCCTGCCAGTCTGCGTGGCTGCGTCCACGAGGCCGAAGAGGGGGCAGGGCGGGGCGCGCACGACAACGGCGCTCGTGCGCCGTGCCATGTCAGGACTCCGTTCCGGCCCCTCTCCAGCGCGGAGCGCCCGCGTCGCGTCCTTCCTCGGTCGGGGGCAGCGGCGCCGCCGCGAGAGGCGCCGACACGCGGGGCGGTGCATGCGCGTCGTCGGCGGGAGGCGGCCAGGAGTGCGGCAGGCACGTGCGATGAGACGGATTCTTTTCTGGTCTTCGTGAAGACGGATCTCCCTGGCGGCCTCACGGACGGGCAACTCCCACAGCCCTGGTCCGCGAGGCCTCGGCACCTCGTGTGCCGGCGGCGGCGGGCGGTGCCCGTGCACCCTGCGAGAAGGGAGGAAGGGACGAGGGCGAGGGCGACAAGACGAAAGGGATGAGATCGAGCAGAGAGGATGATGACCTGCTCTCCTGGCGAATCTACCAACATATGTCGCCAGGGCAGCCGTCTGCATCCTCCCCCCTGGCCTCGACGTACTTTCGGCAAGCGCCGAAGCGAATCCTGAAAGATTGAGGGTCGCGTGCAGTCTTAGTGCCCTGCGGGTCGGGAAAGGACGGCCTGGCTGGCACCGTCACTGGCGACTGCAGCTATATCATGATCCCAGCGCAGGGAACTCTTCTGACCTCCTGGGCCAGCGAGCATCGACGACCCTGTCAAGAACAGCCATGGGAATCCGTGAATTGTGCAACTGCCTGCTGGCCATCTTCTGAACTCCAACGGGTGCAGTGTCCTACGCGACCTTCCGCTGCTGCATCCCAGCCGAGCGGATGGGCTTTGCAAGGAATGCCTTGCGCGCAGCCTCTGCGTGGATCTCTTCTTGTATGGTCTCGAAGAGGTCCATGTGCATTTTGTGAAGGTGCTTGCGGACAAATTCTGGTCCACGAAAGAGCTTGCTGCACGCCGTGCATTGGTACTTGCCCTCGGCGATCTGCTTGGTCTTCTCTTGAATAAGCTCGGCAGCCTTCTTGTCCAACGTCACCTGCTCGTCACTGCTCATGGGGACGGGCTGCTGGAGCCCGCTCGTCTCGAGGAACGCGGCGAGCCTCTGCTCGTGTGCCTCGGTCCACGGACCCGGCGCCACTGCTCCAGCATCTTCCCCGACCGCGGTGCGCACCATGCCCGCGCCGCAGCGCTCGCTGAGCTCCCACTCGTCGGGGCACCACTCGGCCGCGTAGAAGCAGAAGTGGTGCACCCTGCGCAGGTACAGCACCCGCAGGTCGAGCCGGGCCTCCTCCGACCCGCCGCCAGCGAGGAGGCTCTCCGTCACCGACGCCGGGACGCCGGTCAGGCCGTCCAGGCGGCGCACCACCTGCGCCGACAGCGCGGCGTCCTTGCAGATGCGGCCCGGGAGAGACATCTCGGGCGGCACGGCAAGCGCCTTGAGGCCCTCCCGGGGCACCGGCTCCGAGGGGCTCAGCGAGTGCCCCTGCAGCGACCGCTCGCCCGACAGCCAGAGGTCCAACGCGGCCTGCGCCGCCTCCGCAGTCTCGAAGCCAGCCCGCGCCTCTCGCACCAGCGAGCCGGGCGCCGGGTCGGTGAAGGAGAAGCTGACGAGGCCGAGGCACTTCTGCAAGGCATCGTGCAGGTGCCACATGCGCACGTGGGGGGAGACCTTGGAGAACAGCACAGAATTCACGTTGGGGTCGAAGGCGAAGTGGGGCGGCTTCATGTGCCCGGTGGTCCGGCACGTGGCACCCTCGCGGTCGCCGGGCCCCTGCGCGGCGGTGCTCAGACGGAGGGCCTCGTAGCGCTTCTCCTGCAGGTCCCTCATGAAGACCTCCGCGTTCTGCCGCGCCGCGCGCAGCCTCCGCTCGTGGCGCCTGACTGCGGCGAGGGGGTGGTAGAGGTCGAAGTACACGCCGGTACCCTGCAGGCGCTCCAGGTCCTCCACGGCCAGCGCCTGCACGTGCTCCTGCCACTTCGCGACGGCGTCCTCGGGGGTCACCAGCAGGTCCAGCCCGAGGACGAAGGCCTTGAAGGAGCCCGCCGACGCGCCCGCGCCCCTCTTCGCGGGCTTGCGCCCCGCGGCGCCCGCGGGCGCCCGCGGGCTCCTCGGCGAGGGCGTGGCCGAGCGCGCCGGAGAGCTCGGCCCCGAGCCGGCGGTCGCCCACCGCTGCGGCGAGCGGCCGCGGCCGCCGCGGGCGCCGCCGCGCGCCGAGCGCGAGGGGCGCCTCTTGACTCTGTCGCGGGCACGATCGCCGGAGGAAGAAAGAGGTGCAGGCGCCCATGGAAGCTTGTTTCGGAGGCCCGCGCGGGACTGCCGGGGTCGGCGCTGGGCCACCACTCCCCCGGCGAGCGGAGCGCGCCGGGGCGGGCGTCGGGCGCGACGCTCGTCCAAGGAAACCGCCTGGACCTCCGCAGCGCTCTGGGCGGGAGCTTCTGCTTAGCGTGACGCGGCAGCGGCCCCAGCGGCACGCTGTGCCTTGCAGGCGGGTGGTGCGTCACTCCGCGCCGCGGGGCGGGAGGCTTCGGGAGGCGCGGGACGCCGACGCTCCGGGATGAGAAGGTGGATTGCGTGTCGCGGCGAAGCACGGCGGGCCAGGACCGGCGGAGCAACACGCTGCACTCGGCCCTTCTCATAAGGATGCGCGATAAGGATGCAAGGGCCTTGGACGCCCATTTCGAAGCTGCTCGAGCGGGGCGCGGCCAACGAAAGCGGCCCAGGGTGGGCCGAGGAGGCCATGCTGCAAGTGTAGGCCCTTGGGAAGGACGCCCATCCTTACTACGCGGGTTGACTGTAAGCCACAGTTCCTGGCCACTCCCCAGACATGCGACGTCCTGATTCTTTCAGGACGGCGTCCCTGGAAATCCCGACCATTTCCCCAGGACCGGTTTTTCGTCCTGAGTCGCTTCTTGTCGGTCCCGAGGCCCGGCGAGGGCCCCCCAGGGCCGACAATAGCCAACAACCTCCCGCCCTGATTTTGTTTACGACGCGATCATGTCGGCAGCTCTTTGTTCCTTCGCATGGCCCTGGCCAGGCTGCGCTTTCCCGCGGCCGGCCGACCTGCTGCGGCGCCCCGGGCGCTCCGCCCGCGAGCGGCTGCGGCGCGTCTCGGGAGAGGCGGCCTGCCTCCGGGTGGTGCTGGATGCCCTGGAGCTCATGGCGCCCGAGCGGGGCCGGCTGCGTCCGACGGTGGGCGGGGGGAGAAGGAGGAGGAGGAGGAGGAGGAGGAGGAGGAGG